GCATGTCTGTTAGGTTAAACACTATTTAGTGCACAGGTCCTTTTCTAAATATATTTATATATTTCCCCAACTAGGTACTTATACCATGTATTTTAGATGCCCATATCAAATTATTAGCAAATCATATTAGAGAAACCAAGGACAACGGTCTTTTGTCAGAAACTTGTTTCAGGTATTTTATTTCCTTATGTATATATTTTGTCAATCCCATATATTAAAGTCTCATACTGCCTGTTACATTTACATGTTGTGCTTATTTAGGGGCTTGTCTCATTGCATCGGACCCTCGTTGGGTCCTCAATACGTTTACATCCATACAGGGACTTCTGTTGTACTGTTTTCCAGCTTTTACAATTACTTCAATAGGCAAACTAGGATACAGAGAGTTATATTCCCATGCCTATCAGGTATTTTATAATTTTCTCTCTAATCTCTTCTCCCACATTTGTGCCTTCTTTTACCCACACGTATCTTCAATTATTTGTAGGTACACATAACAGACCCCTCTCTGGTTATATTACGCCCTCATCATCTCTTTAATGGAACATTCTATTTATATACACTTAGCAATAACCCAGTATATCACGTTACACAGTTTAATTGTTGAACTTTATTTCCGATATGTGTCATTTCCAGCTATATCTTCCCTCCAGCTCTTTCTTCCTCTGTTTCTATTTCAGTTTATTTAGGTACGTACGTTTACAATTACGCAACTTCTTATAAGACAAGCCCCTGCTAGGGATAGAGAACTGACTGCAAGGGTTAGTAGCTGGCCTTATTCAATTAACTTACTTTCACAATCCAGCAAGACCAATACCCCACCTCTCTCGAAGGTATTGCCCAATGTTTTGATAAATTGCCTCATATCCCCTTTTGTACTGGTTTTTATGGCATCACATGCCACAGCCATGCGTATTTTGTCTCTTTACCATCACTGAGCGGCAAACATCCCGCCACACCAATTTGTGGCCTCATTTCTCCACGGGCCAAACCATAGGTATAGCCTCTCATCGCCACTTGGCAAATAGTAGGGATGTCACAGGGTAGTTAGGTTTTGCCACCGGCACTAGCTAGCAAGCCAGTTCTACATATGGGATACCATGTCTTTGAAAAATAGTATTTTTATTTACTAATTTCTTTATAGAATGTCACAAGAATCAATCCAAGGAGACGACCTGTCTCTCCAGGGCACTCCATCCAGACCCAGCACGTCTGTTAGACCAAGATCAGCTGCAGAATCTCTCATCCCTGCTATCCCTGGGTCCCTGAGATCCTGGACCATACCTAAACTGTCAGCAGAACTATGCTGTAGAAATGTCCCTTTCCCGGCCACAGCTAAGAAAGCGGAACTATATAAGTTGCTATCAGTACAGTCCAGCGATCCCGGCCCGGCACAAGTTCACAGAAGTCCCATGCCACAGCTTTGGACAAGTAGAAGACACCTTGTCATCTATCTTGTCTACCCTTCAATTGCTTAATGAAAGGATGACCAAGATAGAAAACATCATCCCTACTACTATCAGCGCATCTGATGTTCCAGCCACTGCACCCTCAAATACACAGGGTAGTGCCATTACTAATGCGCCCACTCCCACCACTTCGCACGTCATTGCCCCTACACACTCGGTTCCTGTTTCTATTAAGAAAGACATTCTTAATGGCAAGGATGTCAGCCTAGTCTCTCTCCTTATTGCTTCGTAGGGTATATTAGAAAATAGAGCTTTTAATTACAGAGATATTTCTGTGATCCTCAAAACTAGAGATCCACATCTTAATAAAAAAAAACAAAAAAAAACAAAAAACTTTCCATCCTCAAATTCATCCTCGGCTTTGGATTATACAGAGATGTCATGTGCTCTGTATACCACTAGAGGCGGGAGGAATTTGACCTCGATTTACACAAGGTGGTGGACAAAGGGCACAAGTATGGGGGGTTTTGCTTTCTATGATTACCACAAGTTGGTATCAACTAAAGCAGTAGCAGCTCTGGTCCAGTTCAACACACTTGTGCGGTATGTTCGTCTACCACACTCCAACTTGTGTCCCTGTGAAGCAGACCCCTCCACATCCCACCCCACTACTACCTCCTCCGTCAGTCAAGATAGGAGCCAAAGGCTGCTCCAGGAGCAGCACAAAACTATTCAACATCTTTTCAGAGACTCTCTGCTGGCTGCTCCTGAATGTGGTCAAACGTCCCATGGTTATACAGTATTTGGACGAGTTCCTACTGATCGAGACAGGTGTTTTCAACACTAGGTGTTCCATTGACCACCGACAGGTTAGGCCCTATGACAAAATTGGTATTCCTGGGTCTCTCACTAGACTGTCAATGCAGGCATGACTTTCTCATGAGAAATTGTTACGCATCAGGCAAGAACTGGACCAATTCCTTCAAAAAGGTTCTGGTACACGGAGGGATCTTCAGTCTTTACTGGGATACCTAAATTTTACGATGCATATTATTCCACAGGGGAGATCGTTTATCTCCAGGTTACTCTGCCTTCTACCCAACGAGCCTGACTATGGCACCATAGTCCTCAATCCCCCAGCCATAGCAGATTTACTCATGTGTAAGCACTTCCTTTCAGAATGGAACGGCATCTCGATTTCTATTTCCCCACTGACCGAACATTCACCTCTAATTTAACTGACGCAGCAACCCACACTGGGTTTGACGCAATATTTGGTAACCACTGGTTTAGGGATGTTTGGCCTCAAGATACACTTACCTTGCTGGCCTTTAAAGAAACCTCAACCCTTTGAGATTTTAGCAGCAGCACATACATGGGGTCATCTTTGGGCCGGAAGGCAGTCAAGTATTTTTCAGATAATTTGGAGGCTTGCAAGATAATCAATAAAGGGCGCTCTTCCTCATGACCATAATGTGATTGGTACGTAGATTGACATCTTACATAATACTGCAGCTGACGCATTATCCCGGTCTAATTCAGGTATTTTACAAGGTACATCCCTTTGCCAATGAACACCCATCCAGAATCCCGACATTCCCGGAGCTAATTATGGACTAACAGAATTAAAGGGACACTCTAGTCACCCAGACCACTTCAGCTCAATGAAGTGGTCTGGGTGCCAGGTCCCTCAGGTTTTAACCCTTCACATGTAAACATAGTTTCAGAGAAACTGCTATGTTAACATAGCAGGGTTAATCCAACCTCTAGTGGCTGTCTTCCTGACAGCCGCTAGAGGCACTTCTACGAGGCTGGATGTGAAATTCGCATCCACCATGCAGAACATCCATAGGAAAGCATTGAGAAATGCTTTCCTATGGACTGTTTGAATGTGCGCACGGCTCTTGCCGCACATGCACATTCCGCTCCACTCGGGAGCTGATGGCAGCGAGGGAGGAGAGGTCACCAGTGCCGAGGGAGCCCGGCGCTGGATTAAGGTAAGCTGCTGAAGGGATGACATGTC